ACCCGTCACAGGGCAGGCTGCAGCCCAGGGCCAGACAAAAAGTATCGAACCATCAAGTTGTTTACGGCTTACCCTGGAACTGTCAGTCAGCCTGGACAAAAATAACAGATCCTCTGGGGTAGAAAACCTGCGCAGAGGTAACTCCTCAGGGCTGTGGGGAAAATCTCTCAAACTGTTTTCCCAAAGAACCAGGGCAAAAGGCCACATACAGGAACTCATTTCACCACATGCGGCCTGGCTGCAGGTGCTGGACAGTGGCCAAGGAGAAGGGCCCAGGACAGGAATGGCATGAAGCCCTGTGTCACTGCCTGTCCATCTATCCCCAGCCTCCCCCTTTCCCCGCTCTGCTGGGCTCTGCAAGCTGCTGGCTGCCCCCTGACGGTACGGGTGCTCAGGAGGCTCCGGTGCGAGGTCGGGGCAGGGCCAGGCCCACTCCTGCCTCTCCCCTCGGCAGTGTCACCGTCCTCCCAGTCTACGGCGCAGCTTTCCCTGTGATCCCAGTTCGCACGGCTGCCTTTGCGCCTTCCGTGGCCCTGGCTCAGGGGTCTGGTTACACCACCACTCCCTTGGTCCCTCCAGCCGTGGGAGCTTCCTAAGAACCTTTTATTCAAGACAATGACCAAAACTCGTAAGAAGGGTGGGGGTAGCCTGGGCTACTCCCGTCTGGCAGCTGGGATACAGTCAAGATCCGGAACATTCCATTACCTCAAGGATCCCTTGTGTGCTCTCCTGCAGCCAAGCCCCTTCCCTCCTTAACCGCGGCCACCACCAGTTTGTTCTCCGTCTCTGCTGTTGGCGTTTGAAGACTGTTATGTGAACAGAATCACTCAGCGTGTGACTTTCTGGGATTGGCTTTCTCTACTCAGCGAAGTTCTTTGGAGACAATCCAGTTTTTAAAGGGCCAAAATCTTTGAATATTTTAAATATTCAAATTTTTGTAAACATTTCACCGAAGAAGTTATAGAATGGCTGTAATCAAAAAGAGTGTCAGTAATGAGTGTCGGTGATGATGTGGAGAAACTAGAACCCTCGCGTGTTGCTGGTGGGAATGTAAAACGGTGAAGCTGCTATGGAAACCGTTTTAGTTTCTTAAAAAGTTAAACATAAAGTTACCAGACAACTCAGCAATTCTCCTAGGGATCTAACCGAGAGAAATGAAAACATGTCCACACAAAGACATACATATGAGTATTTATAGCAGGATTCTTCACAACTCTGGAAAGAATCCAAGTGTCCACCAACAACGAGTGGATAAACAGATGCAGTGTGGCCACATGTTGGAGTACTGCTCAGCCACACAGAGGGAAGAGCCGTGATGCCTGCTGCAGGCTGGGTGATCCTCAGTGAAGGAGCCAGATGGAGGTTCCTCGGTGAAGGGCTGCCCGGCATGTGAGCCCACAG